AGACGCTCGATTTAATATTTTAGAAAGTATAGACCTTAGTCAAAATGAAAAATTAAGTAGAATAGTGATTGATGGACGAAATAATGAACGTTTTTTTGAAGATAATAGCTTTACTTTGCTAATTAAAGAGATACAGCTTAGTAGAATAATTTTAGCATATGATATAAAAGATTTTCGTGGACAATGGAGATGGAACAAATTATTTAAAGGATCAAGCCATTATACCATATTTCTTAGTCGAAGATAAGAAAATAGATCAATTAGAAGCCGAAGTTGCAAGTTTAAAACAATCTCTTGCCCAAAAAGATGAAACCATAGCACAAAATGATAGAACCATAGTCGATTTAAATAAAAAGATTCAACAAACACCTACACTTGATCAATTTCAAGAACTAAATAATATAGCTTTGGCTTGTTCTGATCTCGATTTTGATAAACTTAAACAAGAAGTTAAAAGACTCAAATTGAAAGATTTTAATCCTTATTTCAGAGAACAAAAAGACTTCTTTGAGCAGTTAACAACTACAACCAAAGATAAAGCAGGTGATAGTTTATGTGCTATTTTGGATCTTCTCTTGCAGGCCAACAAACAAATTATTGAATCTAAAAATGAGAGCGATAATTCTTTTACTCAAGGGCAGTTACTAGGACAACTGCTTACTTGCCAGACTCTTTTGAAAACTAAATTTACCTCAGAAGAACTGCAAAATTTGTTAAACATATCGGCCGATTTTTGGAATTTATAAGTAGAGTGTATTTTTTAAAAACTTTAAAGCTAAATAATTTCTGATCTACTAGTCAGTTTTAAATGATTTTATTACCAAAATGTTCGTCTCTTTGAGATGATTCCAACGAGCCCAAAATCATTAAAATCTAATTACAGGATCATGAGATAATGCGCTGTCAAATAGTGATGCACCTGAGGGTGGGGTTGATTGTTAGACATAGGACTAACCAATCAACTTCACCCTCTAGGTGCGTCACTATTTGACAGCGCATTATCACACGATTCTGTGATTAGATTTTAATGATTTTGGGCTCGTTGGAATCGTCTCAAAGAGACGAACATTTTGATAATAAAATCATTTAAAATGGACCAGTAGATCAGAAGTTATTTAGCTTTAAAGTTTTTTTAAAAAATACACTCTACTTATAAATTCCAAAAATCGGCCCATATGATAAACAAAAAGAGCTTTTAATGTTAGAAAAGCAATCTGCTATTTTGAAGCAGTAAAAAATATGCAAAAATCATATACGTAAGGGAATATACCTTAGTGTATTAAGAGAATCATCCAGAGCGGTTATAGAAAGTGCAGTGATGTAGTTATAGCGCGGCCACAGTAAATATATTGTACAAATAACGATTATTTAAAAGATATTTGAGATTTTTTAACATTTCAAAATTTATGGTCAGTTATTGGAATATTTTCTTTAGAACTTATTTTTTT